GGGAATACCACACTAACAAAAAAAAAAATAAAAAATTATTATTCAGACTGTTTTGGGCACTCTCAAGGAAATAGTGCGGTCCTGACCCAGATTCCCATGGAAATAAGACACCTGTATCATCACTGGGAGGTGGCTGCACCTCATGTTTTCTTCACTAAGTCCCCAGAAATCTCATAAAAGGAACCTGACTCAATAAAACATGAAACACTAAAAATCGATATCAGCTCTCTACAGAGGGGGGGGGGGGCAGCAAGAGAACTGTAAATGGAAAGACAAATACCCTCAATCTCACACAGAAATAGGTGGGATATCTCTTCTACTACTCCTCATGGTTGCTTTGAACAGATGAAAGAAGAAACAAGACACCTCTCAACAAGGCATGCAGTAGCTTTGCCAGATCCTGACTCCACTCTGTTTGCGGATGAAGAGGAAAGGTACCATACTGGATTTGCTGTTGCTACAGAAGATCAGGTACGTCAAGCATCTTTACTTTCCTCACCCACATCTGCTCGAGACACCAAATTGACAGCCTTCTCAGTGGCATGCAAATTGTTTGTTTCTGAAAGACAAGGCCATGCAACAGGAGTGCTCACTCAGGCCCATGGTCCTGGAGGCCGCCAAGGGCCTATTGGATTTTTCTCCTGCCAACTGGATATTGTGGCCAGAGGACGTCCCTCTTGCCTTCGGGCCGTCTTTGCTGCCAGAGAGATCATTGAAAGAACTGGAGATCTTGTCCTTGGCCACCCCCTGGTTGTCTTGGCCCCCCATGACATTTCTGCCATAGTCAACCAGGTCCAACTTAAGCATGTTACTCCTGCTAGGCATCTTCACCTTCAATGTCATCTTTTGTTGCCTGACAACATTACCCTCCAAAGATGTCAAGTTCTCAATCCGTCCACTCTTCTGCCACTCCCTGAGGGGGGTGTATACTACGGATTCATCATGGACAAAACTTATGTTTTTCTTCTCACTGGCACCATCAAGAAGGAAATGCATCCCAACCTATCCTTTCATAATGGACAAGCACTCCTTCATGACGGAGCAGGATATGCCTTCTGTACCATGTGGTACAAATCAAACATCACTCCTGAAACCTGCTATGAAGATGAACTCTATCATCTGGTCGAAGTAAAACTCACTGCACAAGACTTCTACTGTGATTTTGAAGGCAACAGTATGGTCTTGATTCATCTACCTCCGGAACTCAAGCATTTGTACCGTCATTGGGACACTGCCATTCCACATGTCCCTGTGACCAAGTTGAAAACAATATCATGGAATGATCTTGGGCCTATGGCAAAAGCATGGGCCACTATGGACGAATCACAGCTACAGGAAAATGGTGTTGTCAAATATCCAACAACTGACCACCCAAAAGCATGGCCGCGTCATTTCCTGGAGAATGAGTTCCAAGATTTAACCATAGTGAATGACTACGACCCAGATACACCTCATGACTGTTTTGAACAGATGAAAATGGAAACAACACATCTACCAACTGTGCATGAAGACCCATTGGTAGATCCCGATCTCACCCTGTTTGTGGACGGCTCAAGATATGCTGATGAAGAAGGAAGATACCATACAGGATATGCCGTAACCACAACAGATGAAATTGTCAAATCATCATCTTTACCATCAACTATGTCTGCACAAGAAGCTGAATTGCAAGCCCTGACTTCAGCATGCAAGATCTCTGAAGGAAAGCGCGCCAATATCTACATGGATTCAAGATATGCACTGGGCGTGGCTCACGACTTCGGATTAATTTGGAAAACAAGAGGATTTCTTACCACCGCCGGTACACCAATCAAGCACGGTTCCGCAATCAAGGAGCTGATGGACGCCCTCCTACTCCCAGAAGAAGTGGCTATTTTGAAGATAAAAGCACATGGGAAGTTGGACTCAGATGAAGCAAGGGGCAACCATCTAGCTGATCAGGCTGCAAAACAAGCTGCAAAAGAACCACAGGAAGTGGAAAGAAGAGTGTCCGGAAATGAAGAAACTCCCATATTTACTCTGCAGACTCTTCCAACTGACCTAAAAATCCTGCGGGAACAACAGGCTACAGTTGCCCCTGAAGAAATAAAGAAGTGGAAACAGAAAGGGGCAGTTCTGAAGGATGGAGTGTACTCCAACAACCTCAAGTTCTGCCTCCCTAAGAATTTGTACCCAGCAGTCGTACAATGGGCACACGGACCTGCACATTTATCAAAGGATCTAATGAATGCTCTTGTACAAAAATACTACCTCATTGTCCCTATATGAGATTCTATTTGGGACTGCACCTAGGCTAGGTTGCTATTTTCCCCAACAACTACAACTACAAACTGATGTCTTAGTAGATTATGTAACTGAACTCGCAAACGCCTTAAACAAAATCCATGCCCAAGTTTTCTCTTCAATTCCAGATCCTGATTCTGACACAGGCAACCACAGTCTGCTCCCCGATGACTGGGTTCTGGTCAAGAAATTTGTGCGAAAACAGTAAATGTCCGTTCCAAGTTCTCCTGATCTCCCCTACCTCTGTCAAATTGGCCGGAAGGCCTAACTGGATCCACGCTTCCCATTGCAAGAAGACACCTGCCCCAGAGGAAGCTAACTCTATGCAACCATGTGCCTCTGGTACATTATCTCCTTAGTTGGCCTCCTTAAAGCCCAGCAGGTGGCCATCACCAAAGATGCTAGTGGGTACACCTTCTGGTATAATTCATCATGTACCCGTGTGGCTACTTATACTTTTGACTACTGTGACATCGTAGAATGCCCATTCCCCACGTCACAGATTCAGAATATCTATAGAGATATCCCTCATTCAAAAGACCCCTATGTTTGTGTAGTTGACAAACAATGGGGGCACAACTATAACCATTGGGGGGCGGCGGGATGGAATGCCGGGCCTGCCTGGGGTTACAAACCAAAAAGTGTCTTATCTAAAATTGATGATCACGGTAGGTCCCTCCTCCAGAGAATGACTCTGAGAAAGCCCGGAGGAGGCATACCTATGAAATTAATCTTAAACATTGAGCATCCCAGCCCAACGGATGCAGACCAGTATGTAATGGGAATGTACTGGAAGAAGGGTTCCTATAATAAATTAGGACATTTCCACCTTAAAGATATGTGCCACTCTCCTGAGTGGAAAGGGACCACCCACATGGTCTCAAATCCGTTGAAACCACACATCCAATCTTTTAAAGACATGATGGCCATTGCAAATCCAACATTTGAAGATACCATGGCCGCTGAAACAGGTTTCAATGATGTTAATCTATGGTTAGAATGGATGAACTATAATACCAACAAACATAACTGAACCGCATGCTTTGTGTGTGGTGGTGCCCGGCCGCACCTGGGCACTGTGCCTTCAACTTTGCCAGTAGATATAGAAGAATGTGTTCTGAGTCTTTTTGCCTATCACTACAATTTCAATAGGTCCATATGTAAAGCATGGACAGTAGAGTATCCTCTTCTAGTCAAAGATTGCAAACCCCCAGATGGTGTTACCGTCTATAAAGGTAATTATACCTGTTATGCTAATTATGATGGAATTGGTAAATTTGTGGGTAACTTCTCTAAAGGTTATTGTGCCACCTACAGAACTGTCTCTATGAACCTCCTACAATTCCACACTAGATCATTGGGGGATATTTACTGGTTGTGTGGGGATCTACAGCTGAGATCAAGAATGGATAAAGAATGGTGGGGGG